GAAATTTCTTTTGTGGGTCTATGATTTCATTTCTAATGAACATATACTTTATTGTAGAATTGATCTGTGTTTAACCTTTTGGGAAACTGCCACATTATTTTCTAAAGTGGTTACACCATTTTTCATTCCCTCTAGCAGTGTAGAAGGGTTCCAACTTCTCCATATTCTTCTCAACATTTGTTATTTTAAAAACAGGATTATTGAGGTGTAAGTCTTGACAAAAAATACATCTGTGAAACCATCACCACAATTAATACATTGAATATATCCATCACCCCATTAAGTTTCCTCATCTCCTTTGAAACCCTTCTCTCTCCTGATGCCTGCAGCTCTGGCCCCAGACATCTATTTATTTAATGTCACCAAAGATTTATTTGTATTTTTTAGAGTTTTATATAAATGACATCATATGTATTCTCCCTCCATCCCCCAGCTTCTAACTTAGCAAAATGATTTTGAGATTCATTCATACTGTCATGTGTGTGTGTTGATAGTTCATCCTTATATATTATTGCTTTAAGAGTATTTAATTTTATAAATACATCGCAATTTGGTTTTCCACTAACATTTCAGATGTTTCCAATTTGAAACTATTACAAATAAAGCTAGTAGGAGCATCTCAGTACCAGAGTTTATGTGGACATAAACTCTTTTTTAAAAAATTTTATTTATTTATTTATTCACGAAAGACTCTGAGAGAGAGGCAGAGACATAGGCAGAGGGAGAAGCAGGCTCCCTGTGGGGAGCCACATGCAGGATTTGATCCCAGGACCCCAAGATCACTACCTGAGCTGAAGGCAAATGCTCAACCACTGAATCACCGAGGTGCCTCAATCCCAGGACTTGGGGATCACAAGCTGAGCCAAAGGCAGATGCTCAAACACTGAGCTACCTGGGTGTCCCTGAACATATACTCTTTTCACTAGGGTATATTCCTAAAGTGCAATGGTTGAATAATGTGGCAGGTGTATGTTTAGCTTATTAAACTGTCAAATTATTTTCCAAAGTGGTTTTATAATTTTATATTTTCATCAGCAGTGAATGAGTGTTCCAACTCCTCCACAACCATGTCAAAACTTAGTATGGTCAAGCTTTTAAATTTTATCCATCCTAAATAGCATGTAGAGGTATCTTGATGTGTGTGTGTTCCTGTGGGAATTCACAGAACATGAAATTAACTATTTTAAGGGGAATAATTCAGCGGCATTTAGTAAATTTAGAATTTGTGCAACCTCTAATTTGTACCTTTAAAAAGCTGGATTAAACTGGTTTCCTAAAAAATAAAAATAAAATAAACTGGTTTCCTATTTTGCAGAAAAAAAAAGAATATTGTGCAACCATATTATTTACATCACCCCAAAATAAAATCCCATAGTAAGTAGTTTTTATATATTCCCTCCTTCTCCAAACCACCATGACCACCAATCTGCTTTCTGTTTCTGGATTTTTTTTTTAAGATTTTATTTATTTATTCATTAGACACACACACACACACACACACACACACACAGAGGCAGAGGCACAGGCAGAGGGAGAAGCAGGCTCCATGCCAGGAGCCTGATGTGGGACTCGATCCCGGGGCTCCAGGACCACGCCCTGGGCCAAAGGCAGCGCTAAACCACTGAGCCACCCAGGGATCCCCTCTGTCTCTGGATTTATCCATTCTAGATATCCCACATAATTGGAATCAGAGAATAAACATAGTCTTTTGTGTTTGGCTTCTTTCACCTAGCATAATGTTATTGAGGCTCATCTACATTATGGCATGTAACACTACTTCTTTACTTTTTATTGGCTGAATAATATTCCATTGCATGCCTGTACCCCAATTGATTTATCCATTGATCCACTGGTGGACAGTTAGGTTGTTTCCACATTTTGGCTATTATGAATATTGCTGCTATAAACACCTGTATACAAGTACTTGTTTAAGTATCTGTCTTAAGTTCTTTAGGGCATATACCTACAAGTGGATATTACCATATTACTGGGTCATATGGTAATTCTATGTTTAATTTTTTCAGAAACTGCCAAACTGTTTTCCATAGTTGCTGAACTATTTTATATTGTCAACAGTGACATATATACGAAAAGTTCCAACACCTCTACATTCTCATTTAGGCTTTTTTCTTAGGTTTAGCGGCCAACCTAGTGAGAGTGAATGGTATATCACTTTGGTTTCGATTTGCATTTCTTTAATGACTACTGATAGTGAACATCTTTTTGTGTGCTCATTAGCCATTGCTACACCAGATAAATGTCTATTCAGATCCCTCACCCATTTTTTAATTGGGCTTTTGTCTTATTATTGAGTTGTAAGAGGTTTTCACATATTTAAGATACAAGTCCTTTATCAAATATTTGATTTGAAAATATTTTTCCCATTCTGTGCATTTCTTTCTACATTCTTAATAGCGTCCTTTGAAGGACAGAAGTTTTTATTACAGATGAAGTCCAATTTATCTATTTTTATTTTGTTGGTAACTTAAGAAACTGGAAACCATTTTCAGATATGGGATATGGCTAAGCTAAACCGTTCTACATGTCCACCAGAATTTGACAGTTCTAATTATTGCAATACTAACCAGCATTTAGTACTGATACCTTTTAAACTTTAACAATGTTAATGAGCATAAAAGGGGTCTCATTTTTATTTAAACTTACATTTCTCTGTTGACTAATGATTTGAGCATATTTTCTTGTGATTATTTATCAATTCAAGTATCATTTTGGTGCTGTGACTGTGCAAAACTTTTGCCCATTTTTAAACTTGATCTTTTTTTTTCTTTTTATTAATAGGTTGTGTTTTTATATCCTGAAGGCAAGTCCTTTAAAATATGTTTGCAAATACTTTCCTTCATATATGCACTGCCTTTTCACTTTCTTTTCCTTTTTTAATAAAGTTTTAGCAATTACTTTTTTTAAAGATTTTATTTTTATTTTATTTATTTAAGAGGGAGAGCACAAGCAGGGAGGTGTGACAGAGGGAGAAGGAGAAGAAGCAGGCTCTCCACTGAGCAGGGAGTGGGATGTAGGGCTTGATCCCAGAACCCTGAGATCATTACCTGAGCCCAAGGCAGACGCTTAACAGACTGAGCCATCCAGGTGCCCAACTTTTCATTTTCTTAAAGGTGTTTTCAAAGAGAAAAAATTTTAATTTTGATTTTAAAAAGGAACTATATTCTATTATGGTTCATGCTTCTTGAGTCCTAATTAAAAATCATTTTCCCAACCCAAGGTAGCAAAATTGTTTTTTTTTTAACCCCAAAATTTATAGTGCTAAGTTTAAGTCTATAGTTCATTTTGAGTTAATTTGAGTCAATTTGAGTTAATTTCTCATGAAAAACAGTAGGAAATGTGGATGGTCATATGGATAGCCAGTTAGCCACATCATTGATTAAAAATATTCTTCATTCCTTTATTGAACTTGGTACTCTTAAAAAAAAAAAGGAACTTGGTACTCTTAATGAAAAGTAGATAATTATGTATGTGTAGGTTTACATTAAGATTAATTTTGTTTCAACCTATCCTCAGGCTGATCATTTCACCAACAGCAGGTGGTCTTTTTAGTTTTTTAAACATTTATTTATTTGAGAGAGAGAGTGCACATGAGCGTGTGGGGGCAGAGCAGAGGGAGACATGGTGCTGGGGGTGGAGCCTGATGCAGGACTTGACCTCACAACCCTGAAATCATGACTTCAGTTGAAATCAGGAGTTGGACACATAACCAACTGAGCCATCCAGGAGCCCCAGAAGTGGTCTTGATAACAATAACTTTATCTGAAGTCTTGAAATCATTTAGGTTTAAGTCATCCTAACTTGTCTGCCACTTTAAAAATTGCTTTGCCTACTCATGTCTTCTTTTCTTGCATTTCCATATACATTTTAGAATCAGATTGTCATGTTCTGCCAAAATAGTTGGGAGTTTTAATTGAAATTGTATGGATATGTTGATAAATTTGGTTAGAAGAGTCATATGACTAATCTTAAATGTTCTAATCCATGAAAAAAGTATAGCTCTCCATTAATTTAATCTTTAAATTCTCTCATTAATGTTTTGTAGTTTTTAGGGTAGAAGCTGTAAATGCCTTTTGTTTTATTTATTCCTAAGAATTATTTTTTTGGTATAACTGTAAATGGAATTTTAAAAATTCAAGTTGTTTGCTACTAGTATATTAAAATACCATTGATTTTTATATCTTAACTCTGTATCCTGTTACACTATTAAATTCACTTGTTTGGAGAGCCTTATGCTGACGCCTGGGAGCTAGCGGCGCTGGGATGGTGCTGCTGGAGAGCAAGCAGTTCCTGACGGAGCTGACCAGACTCTTCCAGAAGTGCCGGTTGTCGGGCAGCGTGTTCATCACCCTGAAGAAGTATGATGGTCAAACTAAACCCATTCCAAGGAAAGGTTCTGTAGAGGGCTTTGAGCCCTCAGACAACAAGTGTCTGTTAAGAGCTACTGATGGGAAAAAGAAGATCAGCACTGTGGTGAGCTCCAAAGAAGTAAACAAGTTTCAGATGGCTTACTCAAACCTACTGAGAGCTAACATGGATGGACTGAAGAAGAGGGACAAAAAGAGCAAGAGTAAGAAGAGCAAAGCAGCACAGTGAAGGGCACTGCATATCCTGCTCTCACCAGTTCACCCAGTTACTGTTTTTCCTTTGATTTTTCCTTTTGGCCACAAAGCTAGGTTTCCTATTCCCCTGTGATAACTTTTCATGTGAGAGGAGGCTCATTTTGGATGGAACAAGGGCTGCAGTGTTTACAGGATAGTTGTAAGAAGCCAAGTTTATTTTAGAATTGGTTGATTGGTTTGTGTTGCATGGTTATATATCCTGAGATCATAAAGTCTCTGTAGTTATCTGTGTGAAGAACAATGGATCATTAAACATGTATTTATCTGCAATAAATAAATAAATAAATAAATAAATTCACTTGTTTGTTCTAGTTGCTTTGCAGACTCCTTAGTTTTTTAGGAAACAATCTTATCATCAGAAAAAATGTACAGTTTTACTTCTTTATGAAATTTGGACACTTGGGAGCTGCCCAAAGATATAATCATGTTGTCAGACTTCAGAGTGACCTGAAAACAGAAAGATAGAATTGCATAGTATCCATTAAAATTTTTAAAAGGTAAGAATTACACAACACTACATCCAGTAAAGCATCCTGAGTTTCTAAAATCTTGATGGAAATACACAACTGCTAAACAGAGTGAAGGTCTTTCCAGGAATAAGTAGCATTTACTTTATTCTTCAAAAAGAAGGGGAGTATTATAGCTTCCTAACTCCTCCCATTACTTGAAAATCTGGGGTGTTTGCCAGATAACTTGATATATGTATATAACATACATCTAACATATTTCTGGGGGTTTACTGGGAGGCAGGAGAATCTCAAGTCCACATCTAAAGCTTCCCAGACAATTTTTTTAAGCTTCCCTGACAGTTTATCTACAACCAGGCCCCGGATTCCTTGAAAGATCCCTCAATATACCTACAACCACACTTGTATTTGAGAAGTTCTTATATTAAGCATGGTCTAAGGACCACAGACACAAATCCATTACTCCATAGTCGACTTCTTGATCCTTGGTAAGTTATCACTTAGCTGGTAATCATAAGTATATTTTATAACTGGGAATCACAGATCCCCATACAAATACATATATGATTTCCTGAACACTGTTTGTTCCTTTGGAGCATCATCATTGACTTAAAGCTTTTTACAGATTCAAGTGGTTAATGATCTTCCTTTCTATGTTTGAATTATCAAAATTTAGCCAATAAAAGCTATTTGAAGCTGCCATCTTTGTCAGTATTTCCAGTCATCTTAGAAAATATTTTTTCTCACAATAATAATATATTTCAGATTGTATTACCTTTTTTAGACTCCATACATGAGAGTAGAGTTCCCCAAAGAATTTCTAACTCATTTTAGTGTACAATACTATTTTTAGAAGGCCAACAAATGGAATATTAGAACTTAGTGGGCCTTAGTTTCCTTTCTAAAATAAGTATTTTAGAACACACCACACTGAATATCCAGATATTGTTTCTTAAATACAATTACCCATTAAAAATAACCAATGCTTCTTGGAGAAATGGCTCATTCTAAAGCTAGGGTAAAAGTATATGAAACAGATGAAGAATATCTTATAATAGAACAAAAAGAAGTGCTCAAAAAATGATACCCAAAAACAAATTTAACAAGAGTAAGATATGTATGCTTGAGCCTACAAAACATTTTGAAAAATATTTAAAAATAAAAAGAATATTTCATGGAATGAAATATTTAACATTGTTATAATGGCAATAGTCCCCAAATTGATGAAGAGATTCAGTACAATCTCCATCCATATCCAAGCTTCCTCCCCTACCCCCCTGTAGAAGTCAACAACCTGATTCTGGTTTCCTAAGGAAAACAGGAACTCAGAAAACCAAAACCAACTTATAAAGAAAGAGTAAGATTAGAGAACCTACACTTCTCAATTTTGAAACTTACTACAAAGCAACAGTAATCAAGACAGTGTGGTACTGCCTAAGGACAGACATATATATCAATGGAAAGGAACTGAAATTAAATTTAAAAAAACCCTTTACATCTGTGGTAAATTGATTTTCAACAAGAGTATCAAGAGTGGGAGAAAGAAGAATGTATTTTTTAATTTAATTTTTTAAAAAGATTTTATTTATTTATTCTTGAGACACACACAGAGAGAGGCAGAGACATAGGCAGAGGGAAAAGCAGAAGGAAGAGATTCCCTGAGGGGAACCAGATGTGGGACTCAATCCCAGGACCCTGGGATCATGACTTGAGCCAAAGGCAGACGCTCAACCACTGAGCCATCCAGGTGCCCCAAATCTGACATCTTCCTGAACCTGTTGCCCAGCAGCAACAGCCAAGAGGAACAGAAAAGTAGCCTTCCCTTAACTTCTTCCTTCCAAGTTTTGCAGGAGTGCATATTACTGAAGGAACTTGATATGCATCCAGAACATCAAAAGCAAGGAATTCAGGAAATGCAATTTTTAGCTTCCCAGCCCCTTCAGTACAAGGAGGCATAACAGAATGTAATTTAATGGAAGCTGAATGAGCCAACAACTCTAAAATTCCTCTGGATCTCTCACTCAGGGATAGGAAAAAATTGTGTGCAGTAGTGAACTATTCTCCATTTATACTCAGGATATGAGGTAGTAAGTTAAAGGTAAAGAATGTCATAGCAACATAAGTAAAACATTATGAAGAAAACCCCTCCTAGTTATAGAATTATGAAATCCAAGGAAAGCCATCTCAAGATATATTAAAAATAGATTGAGTCATTTTTCTGGGATAATTAAGGTACAATTTTACCTGAAATAATGTACAGAAAGATGGTTTTTCAGATTTCCTCAACTAATTTAATCATTATCCACTATATTTTTAAATTTACCAGCATATCAAACTTACTATGGAATATAACAAAATTTTAGCTTCTTTTAAATGAAAGGCTTCAATTATCTCCATCTACCAATGTTGTTCAATATACTCAATTACAGTATGAATCAAACTATTAAATTTAGTACAGAAATTTCTACAAAGATTTGACTCATTTGTTGATCTATTTACTATGTATCTTCCCATTGAGAAAAAACAAAATCTGAAGCCCTTTATTAAATTATGAATCATGTCTAAATTTCTTCAGAAAACTGTAGGTGTGGACAGTTAATATTTGACCAGTCACTAAAATTCTGTTTTTACTCTTGTTTAGAAAACTCCAGTGGCAAGGATTATCTTACAGTGCAAGCAAGCCCTTCCTTTAAAAATAATTTTAGCTGAGAGGCAGTTTCTTAAAAGATAAGTAAAAATATTTTTATGCCATTTATTTGCTGTTCCTGTTTATATTTTCCAACTAATGTGTCATGTACGACTTGAAATAAACAAATGGAATAATTAAAATGAAAGATGTTTTAGAGTCATTTTTCCTTCTAATTCATATACTTCTATTTATTTTCTGTTCAACTGTTTTGTACATTTGTCACCTTAGTGTGACTAAAATGAGGGCCTTAATTATGTATGTATGTATGTATGTATGTATGTATGTATATTCTTGATTTTTATCCTAATATAAAGCACATCATAAGAATTCAATAAAGAGTGGTAAGCTCTTTTCTTCCTGAAAATACTAAGTAAATCCTAAGATTAAATGAGATGCCTAGTAAACTTACTGACGTGAGTAACTTGTTTCTCTGTTATAATTCAGAGCTACTTGTCTGTATATGTGTAATACAGTACTGTTCATTGTTATATTTTACTTCTTCCAAATGACCATAGTAGATCTCCACCATATAAAATATTTTTCATCCAAATGTAAAAATTAAAAACATAAAATCATATTAAAATCAAGTTTTTCAAGGCAAATTCATAGGGACAGAAAGTAGATTAGAAGTTACCAGTAGCTGGGGAGAATGGGAAGTTATTGCTTAATGGTTACAGAGTTTCTGTTTGTGGTAATGAAAACAGTTTTGCAAACAGCAGATGGTTGCACAACAGTATGAATGTAATTAATACCACTGAATTGTACACTTAAAAATAGAGAAAGTGTTAAAATTTATATTATATGTTACAAGTTTCTAAAATGGTTGGAATGATAAATTTTGTTATATATAGTAAGCAGTCATAAAAATTGATAATTCACTTATAAGAATCGTTAGTTCCTTAAAAATTGCTACATTTACTTAAGAAATAAATATTAAATATATCATATTCTCAGACCTCCATTTCTGACCAGCACTAAGCAACCAAAAATCTAAGACAGACTGCTGAAAGAAACAAGTGTCAGCCCTTATTGAATAGAAGCCTTGTATTGTGGTTAAGGGGAATCTTCAACAGTGATACAATGTTTTCATACCAAAGCCCACATAATTATCAATAATCACGTGTATTTGCTCCAAAAGTAATAAAAAATACAGTATGAGAGAAGAAAATTCTCAAAAAATAAAAAGATAATTTTAACTCCTGAAATATACAGCTGTCCTCATTTTAGAGGTAAAAAAAGAAAAAAAAAAAAAAGCCCTTTCCATTCCCTAATTTTTTTTTTCTAAGTACTCTTTAAAAGACTGTTTGCAACATAGCACAATGGTATTTTACTATGGAGAAATTCTCTAAGATATTCTTAACGTTCTTAACATAACTATGTTTTTGCTAATTACATGTAGAAAACTGAAAATCAGTAATAAGTCATGAAACTAACATGATTTTAAACATATCTTTAAAAGAGGTAAATGATCATTCTTTTTTATAGTATCAAAACAAGAAAACAGAAATTATAAAAATTGTATAAAAACAGAAAATTACAATATATCTTGTTGAATTTTTCATTTCATATCTATCATTAAAAATGTATTAGAACAAAACAAACCCATAAGACAATTAATATTATATACTGTGACAATGAGGAGTCATCCCAAGAAATTATGGTTTCAGAATATGCTATTTGAACATAGATGATTTTATCCTTATTTCAGGAGCTTCATTTTTCCCCAATCCAGATTACCGTAACAATTAGAAATATAAAATCAAGTGCTTTTACAGTTTTCTTTTTGTTGTTGTTGTTGTTTTCTTTCCTCTTTTTGGTGAATTACGCTTATAGCTGTACCCATCAAGTTACTTCTTAGCACAAGAGAAATAACAAAAGCTGTATTGTTTACATCCCCACCTAGTGGTCTTAAATTTTTGTTTGGCATAGTATTAAAAAAATGAATACTTAAAACATGAAAACTCAAAAAAGTTATCTGGCAAAAACTAAAATGAACCAAACTTTGCAGCCAGGAGAGGTATTATTAGATCATCTAATTTCATGCTATTCCAACTAGGGGATGTTAATACTATGTCAGAAACTATGTGAAGCCAAAAGAAAAAAAAAATGGAGCATCTTCTTAGAACATCTATTTTACTTAATGCTACAAGGCCAACACATATTCTGGAGTAAAATGCTTATCTATACTCCTTCCATTACAGAATATGAATCAAGTTCATGAGACACTAAATACTAACCCCAACTGCCCACTTGCTATACAGTGTGGGTTTTTTTTTAACATATAATTTCTT